GCGGAACATATGGCAGCAGGATATGGTGAAGAACAATAGGAATCCAGAATATATCCAGAACGTAAAAAATAGTAGGTTCTTAGCTGAAACTAGAAATTAAGGTATTACTGTAAGGAATTTAGACAGTTTTTATTGTTTAATTGATGTATGTGAGGTTTTGTGCAGGGTTGTCAAAATGACCATACATTTGTTTCAGATTTTTCAGATTGTTCTACTTCTTACCATCCATACCTTGCAGAAAGTAGAAACAATAATAGGGTTCAGACACAATGTAGTTTGTGCTCTCTATTTGCAAAGACTTACATTACAGTTTGAATTAACTTTCCAATCCCAGTGAGTAAAACATATTCACAGTTGCTTTATGGGTTTTTCCCCCACCTGCTTAGCATTCAGATTCCTAAATTCAAGGGATGGTTTTATGCTCATCTATGTGAAGAAGTGGCTTTTGCTCAGATAATGAAGATGTTCCTACAGTACTTTATATTGTATCCATTATTGAAAAGAGATAGATTGAAAGAAAAATCTTGCAACTGCAGAAGAGATACTGTAACAATGCATATATTCAGGAAGCAGGAACAATTTTTTTTCTTGAGCTCTTTTTCAAACGGGTTATTTTTCACCTTGCTCAGAAGACATTGCAAAAATACATTTTTCCCAAAATGATTTTTTTCTTCTTTATTAGAAAACATTGCAGAACTCAGGAGTATCATTTGATTAGAATATCCTAAATTATTATACATAAGTAACAGCATGTGTGTTTATATTGCATAATATGTTGTTTTATGCCTCAATGTTATTTGCTGAACCAGACAAATCACTATTACTTGAATCTAGCCACAGCTATTTGAATCTACACAATGGTCAAGTTGTAAATATAAATTATTTCTCATCTGTTATCTCCTAGAGAAGATCAATTAACCAGGAGGGCTTTTTTTAAAGTAAACATTATTTTCTTCCTTTTCATCTGAAAAGGAAAGTATTATTACTTGGGCAGTCTAGACTTTAGACCTTCACTTAACTACAACACAATGCAAAATCTTGGTTGTGAACAGGAAAGAAGACACAGCATGATTTTTAACAATTATTCTTATGTGGGAACCTCATTGCATTCTTTGGGACCCAAGCAGCATTGCTGGAATGCAAATTCTTGATAATGATTTTAACTTTTAATTGGTGCTTGCATTGGCAACCAACAATGACCAATATAATTAAAATGCATTATTTTTTATGATTAGTTGATAGCTACTGGGAGTGTGTAAAATTTCTTATAATAGTGCTTGCTCATTTTTGAGTGAGGAGGCAGAGTAATAGATTTCTCCTCTTTAGCCAATGACTGTGGATAACTGCCCACATATGATACCTAAAAATATGCTGTGAACATGGAGTCCTATTTCTTTTAAAGATTGTTTAGGGAGACGAAAACTGCTACTTTTCTTTCGCCTCAACTCTTGGTGGCTCAAAAAACATTCCCTAGAATTGAAAAGACCGAAAACTGTTAACTGGGAAATGAACAAACTATAGAAAAGGAGCAACGTATAAAAAAAGAAAAACACTATAAAGTCATTTTGATCTTATCACCAGCCTTTTCCGCCCAAACCCACCAAAGTCTTTTCTAAGCAGCCTGGCTATAAATAGAACAGCAGCTCTCTTGCAGAGATGGGCAGCTGTAAACTACAATCTCATTTTTCTCCCCCAGCAGCATCTGTGTTTTGAAAGAGGCAGTCTACTCACAGTGACATCATTTTTGCTAGTTTTTCATATCTAAGTCATGCACCTATGGAGGTCCTGTAAATATTCTAATACTGGAAAAATCCCCTGGTTTATTTTCAATTAAGGGGAAGTGCATGCTGGTCTCCACAATTTTGGGGAAATAGCAGTGATTTTTGTTTTGTTTTGAAAAGCCAACATTTAAAAGAGATGGAAGAGTATTCAACATTTGCACAGGTGAGTTTGTTCTGTAAATGTTAATAAACACCCTGGCTGGCTAGGAAACATGGGTGGACATAAATTTAAAGAGAATGAAGTAGTAGTAGGATACAAATATTAATATTAGCAAATTTTAGGCTAATAAAATGTAAAATCAAATTAGAAACAAATTTAGTTCTGTGATCATTTATAAGAGCTAAATAATTCACCTTGTACTTCCACTTGTTCCTCTATCAATCTTTTTTAGCATTTAAGCTTCGATTATGTTTCACCTGTTTTAAATACTTGCAATAATACATGTTTTTCTATTGTTTCATCCCAAATATAGCTTATTCTTACTTTAGTGGGGTGGAAGCAATTATTAAAATTTGTTTGAAAAATATTTGATTTTTGTTAATTTCATCTAATCGCTCATTTATGCATTTTGCTGACTCATATTGCTGATTTATGGCAAATTGTAGTATGAATTGCATATATAATTTAACCTAAGATGTGACTTCATTATGATGTGAGTATACTTATAGTAGTCAGGGTAGCTGCCCTTTTTGTCTGTTTTAGCTATAGGGAAGAAGAATACATATGGCCCTATCTCATAATTTTAACAAAGTTGGCTGATTTTTAAATATACACTTCCTATGAAGAGTTGAAAAAATTCTTAAAAAGAGATTTTTGTATGTCAGTTCGATAGCGCTTTACTTTAGTAGAGCCCAACTAGGGGGCAGCATCTAATTGAGCATAGCTAATCATCATAAGCTAAACAGATCTGGACTTTATTTATTACAGTGCATCAAAGTAAAAAGGTGCCTCAGAATTAGAATAAAGCACCTGTATACAACTCTTTAAAGTAACAATTTCTTTTTCGGACATTATTGCTTTCAAGAGATGCACAAAGAGATTATATTTCTAAAATCCTCTTTCAAATCTAATCAAAGCTCTATAGATGGTGAGAGATTATCAGGAGATACCAAGATTGTAGGCTAAACTGAGATGTTATCAAATATATATGGACACAGATTAGAAGCAAATAATTTCTGTGCTATTGCCTTGAAAAATACATGGGTGTGTGGGAAATTAATGGCAGTCAGGCTTAATGACATCCATTTTTAGTGCTTTAATGTACTGTATTATATAATTTTGAGGATTATAATAATGGATACCATCTGATAGTGATTATCCTAGAATATAAAAAGGTAGTGTCTCATGTTGAACTGGTGCCTATGAATACAGTAACTGTTTTGTTTTCTTATAAAAAGCCATTCAGTATTCCCTTTTTCTGAAGTTTTTTTTAACTTTCCAGTCTAGTTCAGAGCCGTGTTCTGAATATAATCAGGTCTGAATATGCTTAGCTTCTTTGAGGTCAGCTCAGGTCAACTAAGCAAACCCTATTTGCTAACTCTTCTATATTTTGTCTCTGAAAAGTATGAATGGGTTTTCCCCATTTCATCACTGATAAAAATAGGAAATCCAAGATTTCTGTCCCATTTAATGCCATTAACAGGAAATTAGTTATGGTAATATTTCAATGTTTCTAGTTTAGATTATCTTGACTTAGAAGGCATATATACTGCCTGGTAGGTTATAGTGGTGATTCTTTTTTTTTGTCCTAAAAGTTCTGATTTGGTTTTTATTTAATAAAATTAGAATGTATATTCTTCTGTAAACAAATTACAAATGATGATTTTATACTGCTTTTTCCTCCATGATTACCGAGAAAACAGTTGGCAAGGGAAACCATGAAAATTTGCAGCAATTAAGAAGACATTTTAGATAATTTGTCCCTCTATTAAAGGGTACTTTTAAGTGTTGGAGACCTTGATATGCAACAACATATCAAAATAGGTGGGCATGTATAGACTATCTAAAGAAAATAGTTTGGACCTAGTTAATTTTTTTAATTTAACATTAAATTATTTTTAAAGAATCTTCAAACTGTATAACAATCTTAAATTATAGATTTTTTCCTATGGTAGGACATGAATTCAGTAGGATGATGTAGTAAGGTTTATACTATTGATCTTAGTGATTACATTCATTGTTAAGTATAATGGTGTTAAGCAGCAATGATTTTTAAATCACTCCTTTTAAATTGAAAACACTGCTATATTTCATACTTCTTGCGTTCTTATTTTCAAATAAAGAATGAACTAACAAAATATGTTATGGAATTCTTTCAATATCTTTTAATTTTTTTTTCATTTTTGGGCTGAACTGCTTGAATTGGGAAGAGGAGAGAGTGCTAAAGTGAAGTATTTAAACTAGATATTGTGCCACTTCCTGCTGATAGAAGCTCTGCATTGGTCAGTTAATGCCAGACCCATTGTATTTGGTTTGAAAACTTCCATCTGTTTTAAAGATTTACCTATCTTTGATTATTTATTGACTTTTTCCCATTGAGCTAATTTTCTTATTTAAATTAAAGTGTCTAAATGAATGCAGATAAAAATATCATTATTGCTGGATATGCATATTATGTGAAAGGGGATAGAGAATGTCTGTGTAAGTGTGGCTAAATGTGGAGGAACTGTGTAAAGATAGGCTTGGCACTTCAGCCTGAGAAATGGCGGCCAGCCAGCCAATGAGCAAGGGGACAGGGCCAAGAATATCTGGGGGAAAAAACAGCTGGATAGATTGCCTCTCTGCTTCTTCATTGTTGTCCTTCTCATTTCTTAATTATGCAGATTGTTTCCTGTGGCAGTCAAAGGCTGATAGGTTTATGAGACATCCTGCTGTGTGCTAATTTTATTAAAACAAGTCACATCAGAGCTTAGGCTGGATTGACAGGGCTGGCCTTAGCCTGACCTTTCTTTACAGTCTGATATTATGACTATAAGATAATTTTTGCTCAATGAACTGTATTCTCATAGCATGATAGTGTCTTCTATACATAGAAGCAATTGCTTCTTGCATTTGGATATAGAAAAGATTTACAGATCAAATATGTGCTAGTTATTTCCAGCAGAGGGCAGTCAAATAATATTTTTATCAACCTCAGCAATACTTTATTATGGAAGAGGAGCAAGTACTGATAAATGAGCTGTATGTAAAACATTATTGATTTTTTTTTTGGCTTCCAGACTATTATTAAAGAGGGCATATTGATGAAGCAAACCAATTCTTTCCAGCGGTGGAAAAGACGATATTTCAAATTGAGAGGACGAACTTTGTACTACGCAAAAACTGCTAAGGTATGTTATTTATACATTAAGTATAAATATTAAAATAGGATCATACATTTCATTTTTATTACCCATAGGAATACAGTTAGTTTTAGAACAATAATATTGAAATGCTCCTAATGTGGTGTGACTTTGGAGATACTGCAAAATCTTGACAACATTAAATCAGAAAAATAGGATATATGGTATAACATTGTATTTAATTATAAATAACAATTCTATGCAATAGGGCCTATGCTCTTTCAAGTTTTATTTTATATAACAAAACTGAAACTAATACAGAATTCTTATGCTGGGTATTGGAAGCACTTGATAAAGTAGTTACGTAGTCATTAAGAGCAATAACTTCATGCACCTGGCTTTCTTTCACAATCCCTTGGCAAAAATTAGTTTTCAAAAAAATTAATTATAATTATATTTATAATTATATATATAATTATATTAATTATCATGGATGGTAACTTGAATATTTACCAAATGAAGTTGAACTGTTAGTATCTTCTAGATATGTGGAGACTCTTCAGTTGAAACAAGTTGCCTGACTGTGTCAGGACTTCATATAGCAGTAGATTGGAGTGGAGAATTCTAGTGAGCTTCTGTTCAAGTTTTGACCATGTGTCATATAATGAATACAACATTAAGGTTCTTTGTTTTGAAGTGTATTTCTCTATAAAAATACTTCTAGATATGAACAGCTTGCATTTTTATAAGTGAGCAGATATGCTAGGAATCAAATCCCTCTAGATACTTGAGAAGATTTGTTCCAGATCTTAATAGTTACACCAATTTTAACGGGTTTCTTGAAACAGTGGCATCTTTTTGCAAGCTTATACAGAAGCCTGGAAAATGTCATACGGTTTCAACAAAAGTAAGTTAAAGAGGCCTAAAATATTTATGAATAATTTTTAAAATAATACAGTCTTAATGCAAGGAGTCATTTTCCAGTAGAATCGAGGGAGTGGCTACTCCTGGTATTGTCAAAGCCTGATTGGTCCAAAGACTGAGGAAAATCTCTTTTAATATCCTCCTTTCCCTGTTGGCTTCCAGTTCCTCTCAGTCTTTGGTCCAAACAACTGCTTTGGTTCCCAGAGAAAATTAATGTGTGAGTAGGTAGATTTATTCATTTTTTTTTACAATTTGATCAATTGGCTACCTTAAATTCTGAGATTTGAGCTGCTGCCTTGCAGGGACAGGGTCCTCCATCTCGCAGCGTGTAGAGGGAGAATTAATTTACAATCCACTCTTCTCGTGGGCATCAGGATCTCTGACTGGTCCCTGGGACTGCGGGGGTGTCAGGCTTCTTTCAACAGCTCCGCAGGAGCGGCTGCGAAGTTTCTAAGACGCCGGTAGGCTGAGGGCGACTTCAAATTCCCTTATGAGAGTCGTGCCTGAGCAAGCGAGCCGCGGCTGATAAAGGCAAGAGCGGCAAGGCAAAAGTACTGTAAATGGCACAGGAAGCCTCCTGTGGCTATTTTGGAGCGCGCACGTGGATGCAGCCATTTTATGGCACTCATACCACTGTTTACATTGCGGTCAGAGTCGGGCCGGCAAGTTTTGATCTACGCAGCCTGCTGTTCTCCCACAGGACCTCTGCACCGGCTGGTGACCTCAAGGCTACCAAAAACAAAATTATCTGGACATGTGAGTGCATGAATGGTGGAGAACACCACCACTTTACAGGCCCCAGAGGAGCCCTTAACGAGGCCAGAAAAGGGGTGGTGGATGGCCCTAGGGCCAGGGCAGCGGCATCTAAGCCCTCAGCTGCCCAGCGCCCATCCAGAGCTGCTAAGAGGGATGAATTGAGACGCCAGCATGCCCTGGAAAAGAGAATTGCCAGGGCAGAAAGACAGGCCCAGGCCACCAGGCCCTCCTCCCCCAGCAGATCCAGATCTCCATTAAGGCCTGGATCTCATCAATCTGGCTCTCCCCACAGGGGGTTCAGCCGTTCTTTCCCCTCTATCTCCCATGCTAGGCCTTCCAGGCAAACCGGGCAGGAGATTTCTCTATCCCCCCGCCCATATCTCCCCAGAGGGTTAGGGAGGATGAAGGGGATCCCTTAGAGGGTTCATCTCAGGATTTTCTTCCCCCTTATACCCTAGCTCCTCAGGGCCCTCTTACAGGACAATCTTATCTCCTGGGGAGGAGCCGAAGTCGCGATGACACGATGTGTGATCTCAATGCTCTGAGATCGCAGTCAATACTTTTGTCTGGGTGGTCCAAACGGATCTAAACCGTCCCGCAGAGATAGTGAACAGGAAAAATACATCTTGCTGATCACAGGGACATCACAAAGTCTGTGATTGATTCAAGAGAAGCTCTTCAAGATGGTGACAAAAAATCCAGCCAAATGGCTGATGAAGTCTGGGTGGCTCCAAAACAGAAGTATATGGAAAGAGAAAGTGTTTTCAGCTGGTGCCTATAAAAAAAACCCTTAAAATTAATTTAAATTGGAGAACAGAAGAACTAAGCGGCGGAATTAAATTTGGACTGGTTTTGAACAATGGGTTATCTTAATTTTTAAATGCTATTTTTACGGATGGAATTTATGCAAGCCTTTTAAAATGAATGGATTAAGTTTCCTATTTTTTTTCTTTGACTATTCTCTGTAATCTATGGACTAAAACTCTCCTCTTTCATTACTGTGGATGTTTTTCTAACTCATTTAAGAATCGGACCTTTTTTTAAACTTGAAATACAAAAAGATACAAAAAGAAATGGTAACATTGTAATATTGTAACACTGCTACTCAGAGGCTA